CACACACACACACACACACACACACGTACTCGGACCATACTGTATTATTGGTACCTTGTATGAATAATGTGGATTTTTGTCAATTTATTAAAAAAAGACTATCAGTATTTCCTGTTTCTGCTTCTTTATTTCAGTTTGGGACAAAAGTTACAGTGCTGAGCAGAACTACTGTCAACATGTAAACAAGTTAAACAAAAATAACCCAAAAGTTAAAAGAAAAAGTTTCACATTAACATTAAAACTGAACACAACCTGACAGAAACAGCTTCAAACATGTTTATAACAGATTCCTCTGAAGAGCAGGACGATCCCATCCTCCACAGTCCATTCACACCTGGTTAGCGCTGTCACCTGCAAAAACAAAAGGTTGGAATAATACACATGATTTAATCCATTTTGTCCCATAACGGGCATATTTTCTTTTGAACTTGCCTCAGCCACAGTGAAACAGGAAGTGACATCAGAGAACTCTGGTTTTTGTTTATTAAAACATTTGGACTCTTGACTCTTCATCTCTCTGGTACAACAGATGTCGAAGGTTTAGTTACAGTTTATGTCAAACTAGGGTTTTTTTTTTTATCAGAAGACAGTTCCACGTGTTGGGCCTGAAGGTGGCAGTAGGGAGGTACATTGTGGTTAATAGAAATGACGATGCGTGGCATTTGAATTATGTTATTTACTTGATCATTGAAGAGTAGTTAGCTGGACATTTGGGTGGTGTCACATTAAAGTAGTATATTCTTTGGCTAATTTCTGGTGTAGTAAGGGGGTCTGTGGAGATGGTTTAGCACAGTGATTCTCAGTGGTTGGTAAACTTGGTAAAAATAAAAAGGCTCGAGTCTATAATGGTGGCTGGGTAGTGGTCCGATTGCATTTATGGTGGCTTCATAAGAGTGTATTCAAAGACCCTCTCCCAGACAAACAGGATAGCTTATGTATCATCGGGGCAACATCCACCTTTTGGCCTACCAGATGAGACAACAGGAGGATTCATCCCTGGAGCCATCGCACGATCCATACTATGAGGACAAGGACTGACAGCGTGGAGTTAAAAAGCCCCAACGTCTATAGCTGTTTTTTTTTTAGATATAGAATGATAACACTGAAATAGTTACACTCACATAGTCGGACATGATTTTTATAGGTTAACGAGTCGATGGTAAATGATTTTTTAAATGTTTGATTTTCCTTTATGTTTTTCATTATTAATTCTTTTTATAAAGTGACACATTAAGCAGGATATGTTTAGAACTGTTTTAGCATTTTGTTTGATTTATTTTTACTGTTCATTGTATGGTTTAATTGTTGATGAGCTAAGGTTAAATCTTAATATGCAGATATATTGTTAGTAACCAGGTCAGTCTGCCACTGAAGACAGGGGGAGATGGAACGGTGCTGAGGACTTGTTCCCGACGGTGGGCCATGTTCTGGAACCTCTGGCCTCAAAAGAATAAACACAGCTGACCTGGTTGGTATTTGACAATAGTTCAGTTTATGTTTTCTATTTTTGTTGATTGGGGTGGGATAAACGGAGCAAATTACTTTATATCAGGGGTGGGATGTGAGAAATTTTCCACGTTGTGCTGTATCGCTTAGGGTAATTTGCATACACATTTGTGCCTTAATGCGAACATATAGTTTATTATAAATTTCTTATTTTTGTTCACATGATTTGGTCATGTGAACAGGGGGATTGTGAAGAAATTTAAAGTTAGGAAATTAGTACTGATGTTAAAAGCACAACACTATATTATTAAGTTCTCCTTGTTGTAATGTTGACAGTGTTTATACCCATTTCAATCAAAACATAATAGATTAGTTACATGTCCGAAATATCTGTTACAACACATAATTAAACGTTGGAAAAATATTAGCTGAAAATTTTGTCTGAATGCCTGTGACTCAGCCATAGGTCAGCAGGGGGCGAGCATAGGCATTGAAGAACCTGTATAAATAGATGGACTTCCTGGTTTTTCAGGCAGTGTGGGTTTCCTGTCTGCTTCAGAGACAAACCTCAGTCAGATCCAGAGTTCTGGTGTTTTATGGTTTAATTCCTTCTATAAATCACTTTAACAATTGTGTTTATAATCTCGACTTCAGTTTATTGAATACGAATTTTCTGACAGAGACTCAAAATAATCTAAAGAATCAGATTCTTCTCTACAGTCTGTGTTAGCCTTGTAGCAACGCTCTGTTCACATGCAGACATTCCCCTTTGACATCACTTCCTGTTACTTCACAGGCAAATATCTCAACTGTTCATCTCAGCTACATGAACTTTATTTTACAATGTAGGGGTCACCTCGAGTCACATTATCAAGGAACTGTCTTGGACTCTCAGTCCTCTGATGGGCCTGTAAGGGACAAAAACTCTGTTCCACATAGAACTGAATCTAGGCCACCTCAGGTAGCCTTAACCATTCAAAGAGACATTCTCTTCCCTTTTAATCAGATAATAAACAGAAGAATCTTCTCTTATTTGATTTATTGTTCTCTTAACTGAAAGTATTACACATTTTGATAATCAGAGAATGTTAATCAAAGTTACAGGAGAAAAGGGGACAGATCTCTTTTCTCCCTTAGATATGTATGGGTTTTCTGTGGGAAAAAATTCTTATTTAACTAAAATAATCTTTATGGTTTAAGTTGATGAAATATCAATGTTTTACTTGTCTGAATCATATTTGCAAATGTTTAACTTGAAACAATTCATTTTTCTTTCAGTTATGTCTTAAATCAGTACTCATCAGATAATTTAAATGGGTCATGAAATGTGTTGTTCTGAACCACACAGCAGCAGCAGTAATCTTTGTTTTGTTCAGGAGGGCACAGCGAGCTCTGAAACTAACACTTTCCTTGACTTAACTTTCTAATCTGACCTTCCAGAGGGTGGAACTTAGATTCTCTAAGCTTCTTTAACAGTTCCCGCCCGGGCAGTAATGTGACGGACTGTTGTCAGTCACCGTAACAGCTAGATTCTCTCCGGGGAATCAAAATCTGAAAACTTTGTCAGGTTTGGCCCCTTCACGCCAACGGGGAAACCTCACAGTGTGGAAAACCACGCCTGGTTTATCCACCTTCAGAAACTCTCCAGACAGAATTTTATTTTGAAACCTTGGTTTCCAATTTGGGGTCACCTTCTATCTGTGGCTTGACGCAGACTCAAGTGAGTCTGAAAAACACACCTTGGGGTTCCCTGTTCGAGGGTCTAAAGACAGATTCCCCAGCAGCACCACCCCCACATCCCTGACAGGTGACTGGTGACTGAAAATCATCTTTAAGGTAAAAAGCTGGCTGTGTGTGACCTCGAGATCGGGCTGACGCAGAGTACAACGCTTCACCCTTCTGGTTAAAACCCACATTATTTAAGATAAAGTATCAGAAAGCTAACACCTAACTTTCCTCCTCTCTTAAACTCTTCCTTGCCAACCCTAAGATAAACAGGCTCAAATGTCTGGTATTTAACATCTAAGCTGATATTTGTGTTTCTATTTGTTTATTGACAATATAAGAAGCTAGAAGTTTGTTATTGTTGGTTCTAAACTTTTATAGGAAACTGATTACCACAATTAAGTGTACTTAGTGATTATGTATGATTTGTAAAATAAATGATCGCGTATTTATGGATCAAATCAACATTCACTGACTGACAGTCACTTCTTATGTGTCCATTCATTTTGCATTGGAGGAATGTTTACCCAAAATAAGTGATCCCTTGCTAAACAAATTAGTCTTATAACTTTGTTATAAGAAGTGTAAGACTGAACTCTTACAGCAATATTTTATCAATGTCCTCTTTCTTAAAATGCATTCAAATGTATGACAACAATTTGATGTCACAGACACTTTAAAGTTCAGAATAGAGGAAACAGTTGTAGCTGCTCCTTTAAACCTGAGTCCAGTCTGAATCAGTCAGTTAAAGATCAGCTCTGGTTTTTAAACTCTGCAGAATTCACATTTTATTACAAAATAATTAATTTTAAAAGTTGTTTTCTGCTACAAAGAGGTCCAGAAGTGGACCTCCAATAAGCACACTGACAGGAGCTTCCTCTGATTCTGTAAAGAACGTTGTTTTCTTTTGTCAGTTATCATCAATGCCTCATTCAGACATCTTAAACAGAAATAAATAATGTCTACATTTGGTCAGAATTAAAGAGTTGACTGTAGTGAACCCCTCTGCATGGACTATCAGACTAATGAGAAGAGAACAGGAAGCTTCAGAAGTCTTACGTACTCTCAGCACAGGGGGATGAGTACTCAGTAGCGGCTTGATCACCTGAAGGACAAAAAACAAACATCAGCAGTGGGCGGAGACCACCACAGAGGAGGGGGAGGGGCTTCAGGAGTTCCTTACTGGTCTGGTAGTAGTCGTAGACTTTAACCACAGCTGGTTTCAGGTTCCTGATCTGCTGATCCTCCTCTAGAGTCACACTGTACATCTGTGTCACATCCTTCTTCAGCTGTGAACACACACACACACACACACACACACACACACACACACACACACACACA